GCTGCCATCTGGGCTAGGCTGAGTCTCTGAAGAGCCACGTTAGACACTTCCTTCTCCTGATCTGGCTCTCCTGCGGTCCTTTGGAATCCCTGTCAGTCACCCAGTCTCTCCTTTTATTTTTATTGTGCATTGCAAGAGCCAAACCAAAGTGATTAAGGAAGAATGGTTGGCTCTTGCAGCTCTTCAGCCTTGACCACAACCTCCAATAACACAAGTAGCTCTGAAGCAATAAAATCTGCAGGACCAGGCCTGGATTCTTGTGAGAGTTTCTGCAGGTCACATATATTGCAATGTGGGCAATTCATGTTTAGCATGTGAAGCAGAAAGTAGCAATGATCCTCAGGAGTAAAGGTCATGCTGTCCACCCAAATCTACCAAAGAAATGTTGTCTTACCACACTTACCTCTCCCATAAATTTATTTGTGTCCAGTCCTTCTGACCCCTGGCAGATGCCTCCCAAGTACAGTGTATGGGGCCAGCTGTCCTTTGATGGTGCCCTGGAGAAGGGCATGGTTGGTTGGCTGGGATAGAAGCACTTTCCTTGGGGGTGAGGATACATGGAAAAAATTGCTGCAGATCCAACTTACTCTTACTGCAAATTGTCTCCTGCAATAGCAAGGGGTTGGACCCAATGGCCTTCTGGCCCTTTCCAACCCTACTACTTCAGGAGTCCGTATAGGGGGCAATGATTTACTGGGGACTGTTCCTGCTAAGTAAGGACATTGTTCAGAAGTGACAGGACCAGGATCTGACAATGGCATAAACCAGCTTCAAGCTTAGTTTTCCTTGATCCTGCTGTTTACAAATGGAGCATCTCTGCCTTTGCAAATATTTTCTGATAGAGCACCAGCTGTTTGCTTGACCATCCGTGGATTTTGTAAATCCTTGATTGTGTGCAGGGTTTGGAGAGTGGGTGAGGGTAATGCTGGGTGGATCTGGAAAGTGTCTGACTGTCGCCAGGTGCATTTTAGCTGTGTAGAAGAACACAAATAGGTTCAGATCTCTGCGAACTGGCCCTTTATCCAGTTTTCCACTCAGCAGGAGCGGAAGCCAAGGGTAGGAATAAATGGTAAATCCTCCCAGTGGAGAGGAGTAAGCAGTGGGGTCCCAGGGGGGTCTGTAATGGGACCAGCACTTCAACCAGCTCCTCAATTATCTGGCATTAGGGATGAGAGCTGAGATGGTCAAATTTGCTGATGGCATCAAATTATCTAGAGTAGTTAAAACAAAAAGTGGTTGCAAAGAGCTCCAGAAGGGACTCTCCAAAAAGGTAAAATGAGTAACAAAATGGCAAATGTGGCTCAAATATAAGCAAATGTGACTATTTTATATCTGGGCAAAAAATCCAAACTCCAGCTATAGGCTGATGGGATCTGAGCTAGGCACTCTTGGGGTTGTGGGTGGCATAGCGAACATGCCAGCTCAGGGGGCAGCTGCTGGAAAAAGGCAAATTCCGTGTATTTTTCAGAATTATTTAAAATTTTGAATTTTTATTTTTGTTGTGAATTTCACCAAAGCAAAGATAATTTTACAAATACAAATAAAAAAAGCTTTTATCTATTCTCTGTGCTATCTGCTCAAACACTGAAACTGTGCTTAGGTCCCCAGTTGGATGATAGGAAGTGAACGTTTATGCTTCCAATGTTGTGATATTAGTCATTAGCTCTCAGATGGGTATGGACAATCCACTGATATTGACCATATGTTAACTTCCAGAAGAGGCAGATTATTTAAGAGGACATGTGCCTTAGAAAACATTATGTTCCTTTGCAAAGGCACCTGCTGGACAATTGCAAAACATGAAAACTCACGTGACTGCATGTGCCACAATACCATTAAGAGTTCTTAAAAATGGGTTTTGAGTGGAAGAGCCCTAGCCCATCCACCTCCGTTGCCTTCTCTTCCATCATATGCCAGTTTTTTAAAGAGCAGGCAGGACTTTCTCAGAAAGCTTGCTGAGCTGCAGAACTCTCCAGCCCGCAGTCTCTGGAGGCATAGCTCAGGGAAGGGAAGCCACCTCTGCGAGAATCTGGCTTATACATAACGCAGCTCTCCTCAGTCTGCTGCCTCCAGGTATGTTGGGGCTGCCACTCCTGTAATTTGCTTGCTGGGAATTATGGGAATTCCAGCACCATCGCATGGAGAGGCCACCAGGTTGAGGAAGGCTGTTGTAAAATCATTTTTGGCATGGATTTGGTAAGGACTGGAAGCATTTACAAACTGCCTCCTCCACACAATGTTTCTAACTGGATATTCAGCTACTAGGAGACACCCCTTCTGTTGTTCTGTTCCTTTCATTTTTAGCCTGGTTTTATTCTATTTAAATGATATGTTTGATTTTGCTATATTGCTTTCAAATATCTGAATTGCCCTTGCTTCCCCCACCCGCTCGCTCCCACTGCTGGAAGCCTCTGGATGGAGTTCAGAAATGATTTCAATAAATAAACCCAGTTGAGATAACACACCATAGTAAAAACACTTGTTCATAACCCAATAACAAACCACAATTTTCATTTATGGGTTGGTTGTGGTTTAACTACCCATCACTAGTTAGCATGTTTGGGTTCAGACAACACGTTAACCCATGTTTTAGCAACAAGTCAAGACCCACATCCGTGGCTTCCAGATTCAGCCTGTACTCGACTTTTGAGTGTGCGTGACCGTGTTGTCTGAACCGAGGCCTAGTTTTTTTGCTCAGTCTGGTTGTCTAAGCATCATTTAAAAAAAAAAGATCTTGGGGTTTATCCTGTGTTGTGAGGTCATAACTCACGTCTCCAATTAACTCACACAGCAGCCGGCAGTGAAGCTAAAGACTTTTATTGCTATTCACTACAAGATTTACGATGTGACTGATAAGCTCTAATAACAAGTCCCTTACAGTTCAGTTGCTCCCTCCTTTCTGAGCCACCTCAGGAGACCACGTGGCATCAGACCTTCCTGTCTCGCCTTTCCGTTCGTGGGTGGGACAGACCTCTGTCCTGTCGTCATAACTGGACTTGTTGCCTTAAAGTCCTCCTAATTTGGGCGTTTGCCAAATTCCCCGTTATGCCTTCTTGTTCTCCTGAACTCTGCTCAGCAGCTTCAGAGTCAGGAGCTGGTGGGGCAACTTGTTCAGGCAGCTCAGAGCTAGGATGAGAGGCAGCTCCTCTTTCAGACGCCTCCCCGTCAGTCTGCAGGGAGGCCATTCGCTCAGGGGCTAAGGGCCCAGAAGTCTCAGAGTCAGGCTGCAGAGGGGCCGTCCGGGCACTGGGCCTCAAATATAAGTCCCCTTGCTCCAGTGCCTGACTCTCACTGTTAGCTCCTGCCTCTTCCTCACGAGTAGATGTCTCTGTCGAGCCATCAGGCACAACATCCTGGGACCTTCAGCATGCACATCTTACACCTTATGGCTGCAAATGATCATACTTGATTTGATCTTGGTGTCAATGCATTTCTTAATCTATTGCTATCTGAATTGCACCTGCCTACGGCTGGCATTACCCAAGGAGGTTATTTGTAATTTTTAATGTGGTTTTTCTGGTAATATTGCTTTCATTTCTGCTTCATGAAGTATCACTGGATTGCTCTAGCAGACAAGTGGAGAAGATGTTAAAATTTAGGTTTGGTTTAGGCATCTTAGCATTTGTTCTCCCCAGGATGTGGTAAAGGCTGTCGCCTTCCCGGCCAACAGCCAAAGGGGAGTTAAACAAGTGTATGGTGGGTTGTTTTTCCACACCGACTGGCTCTTGAAAGGAAATGGCTTTCCTGTTTGAAATCTTAATTAGAGAGCGAAAGCAAAGCCTTGTAGACAATTCGCAGCCAGGGTGTAAAGATAATCAGGAAGGCAAAGTGGGAGTGGCCCGACCAACTCAGTCCCACATGAAACGTCTTCTGAGAGCTGAAAGCTGTCTCATTTTTCTGACTCAAGATTGGACATTCATTTGATACCTCTATACCCCTAAACATTTACATTTGGTTAAAGCTCAGTGTGAGAGTCCCTGCAAGTGATTATCCACGGTCTGTTGGGCAGGGATGTGCCTGCAACATACAGAATTATTCTGGCATAAGTTTTTATGGACTCTGTCTGCTTTCTTAGATCAATAGGGGACCATGAATGATGATGCAAGGTTCCATTTGTTGATCTTTAAGGTGCCATCAAATTCCTGCTTTTTGCAGAGACAGATTCATACAGCTGTCCCTCTGGACAACAGACAGTGAGGTAGCATTCATTGCAGCCATGAGCGCATTTCTCAGCAAGTTTCTTTAGCTCACGGCTGAATTTAGGAAATGGAGAAGATAGCCTGCCTAAGGTACCAGTTATGGGAACAAAACCAGCAAAGCTTGTCACAGTCCTCTCCATCTGGGGGATGGGTGTTGTTTGATCCCATTCAGGCAGTAAAAACTTGAACAAAGTACCTGCATTGTAGGTCTTTAGTCCATGTTTGGACAACTTGTAGTTCTCCAGGTGCTTTGGCTCCCATTAAAGCCAGTGGTGAGGGATCATGGGAGTTGTAGGCCAGAACATCTGGAGAGCTACCTCTGCTTTAGCCTATGGCCCTGGTGTTACATTATGACTGAAGGATTCCTAGTTTGGGGCTCTCTGAAATACCTGTGCTACTTCTAGGGCTTGGCCCACCCTCAGTGAGAAGTCAGTTACCCTTTCCACAGCATACAGTGCAGCAATGAGCTGAATCATTCGTGGTATTTGGGAATTCTCATGACGCGTCTTGGAGAACATCAAAATAGCTCCTGCTGGCTATTTTTATCCTCACGACTTGTATAGGATTTAAACAGACAATTTCCTTCCTAGTGAGAATAACACTTGTTTTTGATGGTTGTTTTTTTTGTTTTACATTATAAAAGAAAACAGTGGGAGGAATTAGTAATGCAATATGTTTTCAATGTGCATCTATTCAGGGAATCTCCCAGAGACATTCTAATTCGTGATCCAGATCTGTGCAACTCTTTAATGCTGCAGCTAACTCAGGTTCTCCCTCTGTTTCGTTCCTCCAAATGCTTAGGGGGCAGTGAAACGCTCAGCGCCAGAGATACCACAGAGCTCTTGGGAATCCAGTTTAGCCATGGATCTGGAGAAGTCCTCAGTCTGGGGATCATTCAAACAAAGAACAAAGCCTTGGCTACACAACCTGAACATCCGAAGGACCAAGAAAAGCTCTGTCAAATTCTTGGAAAGGAGGCCACGGCATCCCTACAACCGGTGCCTTAGTTCTTCCGAGCCTGACTTGTTGAACGTTGACATGGTTGTCCAAGAAGAAACCAACTATTCGCGATCCAAAGCTGTGTCTGCTTACTTCCCGAGTGGCTTTACCTCAACGGACTTGTTCCTTCAGAACAGCAGGAGGTCTTCCTTCCAACAGAGTGGGGAGGAAGGGCAGTTGAACCAGCAGGAGAAAGTGCAGGTAGAGATTCGGGTTAAAGGAACAGAGGCACCAGTTGGTGGCCTGGACTCAGAAGCGAAGCAGAGGTCCAGTGAAGATCTGGTGGAGCTGCTACACCGGAGCAGTTTCAGCAGTGACCTCGCAGAAGATGCGCTTGAGGTGATGTGCACTGGGTCCCACAAAGTCATATCAGCAAGACCTGGCAGAGGGAGGAGGGCCGCTTGTGACCTTCCAGGGGGTATCGGAATCCCATTAGCCCTCACCACTGACTGTGCTCGGTACGGCTCTTGGGATCTGCGATCCCGCAATGGAAGGATCACAAGTCCCTCCCTTAGAAAGCTTCTTCCTATTGTGTTTGTAGGACTGTGGGCAAGTCTAACTGTGATTCTTATATATTTGTGCAAAGATTCTTCTATGCCTTACAAATACTTGCTTAATTCACACTAAATGTATTTCTTTTTTAAATATTTTTTATTCATCTTTCAATCTTAAATCTAACCAAAAGAACCCTTAGATCTAAAATAGACACACATAAAGTTAAACATACAACTGAAATAATTCTTACAATACAGTGCCCCCCCCCCCCCCCCAGAACCGAACTGATGAGGCAGGTTACAAATAATTTTAAAAAAGGCCTCATTCAAGCATTTCAGGACATCCCGCTCCCACTTCCAAAACTGTAATGATCCTTGATTCTTTCAAAGGCTCAAATCCTTTGCTGATGAGTCCTTGGGTGTGTTCCACAGTATTTGCCATTCATGATTCATTGCCTCCTGGAAAAAACTGGGCATCAGTTTTTCGGCAGGGCTCCACAGCCCTTCCAAGAGCTCTTGAGCATCTTTGAACCCTTCGGCTCTCCAGTTCATGGTGACTTCCATTGTTGTTTCTTGTAGATGGTTGGACAAAACTTCCCTCAGATGTTCACCAAAATGTAATTAGAACTGTCACTTGCCCGGCAGCCGCTTGCTCTCTTGGAGGGTGTTTTCTCCAAGCGAGTCCAAAACGATCTCCTCGAGAGCAAGCCGCCACCTTCCCGTGCAGGGGTGAGGCAGGCGCACACGTGGCAGACCTCTGAGGCGGGTCAGATAAACGGCCGCAGTGGACCAGATCCGGCTCCTGGGCCATAGTTCCTGGGCCATGCCCTAGGAGCTTCATGCTGAAATACACAGCCCATCCTAGGTCCAGGGGACATGCTTCTGTAATGGAGTCTTTAAATTGGAAATGCCATTAGGTAAAGTTAATTTGCAGCATTTCAGAAATCAGCTCCTAAAACGCAGATCTCTGCCCATCCATGTGAAGGAAGCCCAAAGTGCTCGTGGTGTTTCTTCGACATCTGAAGGCCCTTGACTAAGGACTCGGGGTCCTTCCCAGCCAACAATTTCCCTCTAATCCCAGGGAAGCAATAATCACTTCAGAAGGACCTCCACGCTTGCGCCTGCCCCTTGGTCACAGGGCAATGCTCTCCAACTGGACTAGAACTTCCACAGCCCATGCTGCCTGGGGCTGATTGAAGTTGTAGTCCAAAGCATGTGGTAGGCCCTCGCCTCGCCTCGCCTCCCCTTGCTGTGCACCCACACACCTGCGCCCCACCTCAGTGCCTGCCCCCTTGCCAGCCCGCACACCCCGCCGGCACCACCTTTCCAGCCCGCGCCCAGCACCGTCGCCTCTCAACTGGCCCCCTGGTGAAAAAGTTTGAGGACCCCCATCTTAGGGCCCGTAATGAAGTCTGCAGAGAAGCATGTTGACATTTTTCTAAAAGGCTGAAAAAGCCCCGAGTGACTGGTGACTGAACAACAGGTCATGGGGCAGGAGGAGAGCATGTGGGTATGTGGCAGGCCCCCAAGCAGGCCAGATTTGGCCCCCTAGGAGAATAGCTGCCCATCTGGTTAGCAGCAGTTGTAACAATGAGCTGCCTGTGAACAGCAGGGCATGCCAAAGGGCATTGTTGCGTCCGCTGCTGGGGACTTTTGAATCCCTCCTGTTGTGTCTTTCTTTGTTCAACAAATCCATAGAAATAAATATTTTTTCTCCTGGGACTAATTTATAGGATCCTCTTTATGTCAGGGGAGTGGAACGCATTTGCAGAAGGACATCTGCAGGCCTCAGCTTGGAACAGCTGGTCTAGACCATGGGGCAGGAGGGGTCCTTTCCCTGGGTACCTCGCCAGGAGCAATTCTGGGTTGGGAAGGACTGTCCCTGTCCCAGTGATAGGACAGGGTATAAATGCATGCAATAAATAAATAGATGCGTGCTAGACCTTCCGATCTTAATGCAACCACCTGGGCTGAATCCACCGCCATTGTGAATACAGAATACCTTTAGCTTCACCTGCCCTGAATGATAGGAATTGGTGTTCATTCACATGGATTGGCAGAGATCCTGAGTTGGGGCTCATCGTCCTTAACCCTGGGTCACCAGCTTGCAGCCTGCAGGTACCAGGATGTCCTCAGACTCCTAGCCGGACAGGAGCCATGCTTGCTGTCCTCTTGGTCTCTGTTTCATTTCTAAAGATAGATTTGCAATCAAGCAAATACTAACTAAGGTGTCGTGGTCCAAGTTAAGTTGCCCACCTGTGCTTGGGTTCAAAAGAGTGGCTTTATTTATTTATTGCGCTTTTATGCCCCCCCCATGGCCCACAAGAGTCCCGTGATTGGCTGTACTCACCATGGGTGCCATTTTATGCATGGCTAGGCCCCCATGGCGCCATTTGTGAGAGATCCCACGGCACTCCCTGGAAGTTCCCAATGTTCCTGCCAGCCCAAAGAGGTCGGGTCCCACTGCCTTAAGTGGCTGTGCTCAAGTTTTATGCCCCCTTTCTGTGAGCGGGTGGCTTGGGGGCTTTCAAAGGTGCTGCCTCAGCAGCCCAGTTCAGGCGTTGAACTGCTCGGTGGTCCCGTTTGTGGCAGGATGCATAGTCTCCGTTGCCCAGTGGCTTGCTCCTGAATTTTTGCTCTGCCAAAGCATGGGAGGAGAGGGCTGTGTCTCATTGACAAGGGGCATGCAGGTCCACAGCATCTCCTGGTAGGGATGCAAAGAGCTCCTTTCGGAGCCCATTCTTATGGAGTAGCTCAGCAGCAAGGCACCAGCTTTGCATGCTGACTGCCCTGAGTTTAATCTGTGCCATTTCCAGGCTTGGGTCCCTTAGGAAAGACGCTACCAGACTCCCTGCAAGTTGTTGCTTGCCGTTTATACTGGCTGGATGGGCTTGATGAGCCAATGGCCTGTCTGCACATAAGGCAACAGTCTAGGCTCCTCAGACTGTGTGTATCGGGCCCTTCTGCCCTATAGCCCACTTCCCCTGACGCGCCTGTGCTCAGTATGGGCCCTCTTGACTGCCCACTCTCTGTCCACGTGGATCACCATGCCACCCAGCGACGTGGCCCGGGACGAGCAGTTTCGCCTCTCCTCAGCCGTCTTCGGCATTGCGTGCGTGGAAGCCGGTCAAGCGTTGAGCAGCCGCAAAAAACGCCACATCAGTGCAGCCTTGTTCACGGAAGTCTCCTTGGTCTCAACAGCGTTCCAGCAGCGGTTCCAACCTCGACTCGTCGTGTTCATCGCAGCTCTTTGACGAGCAGCCTGTAAGTGATCCACAAATGCATGAAAAGTGTCTGGGATCCCAGAGGCTGAGCCTGGGCTTGTTTTGCCAGGACTGGGGTACAGGAACGTATTTCTGGAACCCCCTCAATGGAATAACTGCTGCTGCATGTGAAAAAGCACAGTGTGGGGCTTGCGGATTCTCCGTGTGGGGAGAATTCTTAGTCTCTGCGTGGGGATCCTTGCATTGCTCGACAAGGGTGAAATGAGGATTTTGTTTATGTTTGCAAATCATGCATGAATGTCTTATTCACAGCCCCAAATGCAAACATGAGCAGGACGTCTTGTCTGAAAATGTTTGCACGATCCTGCGCATGTTTAGGCCGGAAGAAATCCTGAAACTCACAGTATTTCTTTAGCCTGTAAGGAACTGGGAATTCCTGGGACTTGGAGGATTTTTCTTCATTTGAGCACGATTGTGCCCTCATTCTGCTTGCCCTGAAAATGTTTCTTCTGCCCTGGCATTCATGTCATCTCCCATGAATGCAAGTCTCCCATGGGACTTGCCTGAGATAACGGCCCAGCTCACCTTTTGCTGCCAACCTTTCCTTTGCCCATCACAAAGTGCTTCCAGTTGTCTGCAGTCATCTCTTCCCTCACATGCCTTGATTTGCTCCTTACCATTTTAAATGGTAGCTTGCCTTTAAGCCAGGACTGGACGCCCAGTTCAAGCATAGTCTTGGGCATGTTGGGAAAAGGGGCAAGGAAATGGAGGGTGAAAATGGAGGGGTACAGGGGGGCCAAGGAATGCAATCGCCTCTCCACTGTGGCTACGCTCGTGGTATCCATGCAGGGCGGAGATGAGCCCAAGCGCGGTTTTTGCTTCATTGTGGTCAATTCCTAGAACTGTGATAGAATTTGTCTGCTTTTTGGAAGAAGTGAAACTGATGCAATTTCATTTTGCTTTTATACCAGGCATCTGAGGAAGGAAGTGATTGTTTGAGTAAATTGCCAGCTCAATTTGCATATCTGTTAATGATACATCTGAAAGAAGGCAGAAACTTGGTCATCAGAGATCGTTGTGGTGAGTCAGTCTGTTCCTGTTTAAAAAAGTGGTGTTTAAAAAGTGTTGCACAGCATCTGAAAGGTGCTCTGGTTGAACCAACAGGACTATAGGTCAAATCCTGCCTCAGTTGGGCTTAAATAGCAAAAGGTTTTCAAAACCCCAGAGTCTATTTCCAGTGCAGAGTTTTGCATTCAGGGATGCTTGCATAAATATGCAGAATATTCATGTCGCTTTCTGGGATAGTAGCAAAAGAACTGGTGGAAGTTAGATCTTTCCATCCCTATCTAGAATCCCCTTTCCCCTAAAAATATTTCCTCCTTTTTCAGTAAATGTTTTTTCAACGCATGAGGCACCTGGGCTTGAACTAAAAACTCCTGCAAGCCGAGACAAATCCTGTTCTGAAAGAGCTTTCTGTAACAGAGCTACAGAGGAGTCAAATTAATGAAAATGTATAAACTTTTGACTGGGCAAATATCTTTTCGTGAGAATGTCAAAGGAGAGTCACATCTCCCCGCCCACACGGCCCTTGGTATTTCATTTCAGAAGTTGTTCAGGAAGTTCTAGAGCTGGTCTGAATGCTGGAATGCTAAATTCCTTGGGCTGGTGTGTGCTGGATAATGGCAATACTGCTACTAAAAATGCTACAATGATACGAACGAATGAGTTCTGGGAATTTGCTTTTGTTCTAATATGGACTAGGTCGCGACTTGCCACATTGCTGTCTCTCCTGGTCTGAAGAACTGTTTGTTTCAAGGAATGGCCATATTGTGTTTGCAAAACTGGCTTTATCACACTCAAAGCACTGTCATGAGTTGCAGAATTCTTGCGATGCTGGGCCCCATTCCCTGGTTGCTTGGTCACAGGTCTGATCCTATGCATGAATAGAAATGGCGGATAATTTTTAAGATTGTCCTTCCAATAAACCAGGGTGAGGAACCTCATTCAGTCTGAGGGCCAGATTCAATTTCAGAGAAGCTCTTGGGGCTGGAGTCACAGGTGTGGGCAGGACCAAAAGCAAGAAGGGTGGGGACAACCTTCTCCTTCCAAAGAGTGGGATGCTGGAGGACCGGTGAGGTGTAGTGGTTTGCCCGGTGGCCTGGGACTTGGAAGGTCCCAGTTCTGATCTCCATTTGGCCCTGAGGCTCCTTGGCTGATTTTGCACCAGTCACAGACTCTCACCCTAAGCTACCTCACAGGGTTGTTGTGAGGATCAAGTGGAGAGGAGGAGGGTCATGTAAACAGCCCTGGGTTCCTTGCAAGAGGGAAAAGGTGGGGTATAAATGTCCCCAAAAAGTAGCTTAAAACTCTTCCTTCCAGGACCTAAGCTTCATTTCAGCTTTTTAGGATGGGGAAAAAACTGTGGAGAAGCCATGGGTGCACTGAGGAATCAGCGATTTGAGAAGCAAAGTAGATGCCCGTGAGGGTTGCATTTGGCCGTGGGCCTGCAGTTCCTCACCTCCCTCCATAAAAGCATATTTTCACAATTTGGCACTCTTCTTTTCCGTAGAACTGTAGGCCAGTTGCAATCCCGGCAAAGTCTGGTAGCATTTTTAAATGCCCATGTTGCGTTGGGTTTTGCACAAATTCTGGTCAAACTTGGAGAGCCAGAACCAGAACCTGGAAAAAACATGTTATGACTTGCATTCTCTTTGTGCATGTTTTAATTAGGTTCTGACTTTATTGTATAATGATTTTGAAAAGGCTTTTTTAAAAAAAAGCATTTGCAATATAAATTTACTGGTATCATTGTATCAGTTGTTGAATGCTAGAGAAAAATGCTGTTTGAGTGCTGTCCTCTTGTGGTTGTTTCATAGCACTGCAGGGTATTAGAAGGATATTTGTGTGCACTGACATTGGAACACCTTTTTAGAAACATAGAAACACAGAAACAGAGTGAGTCAGAAGGGGTCTCCCGGGCCATCTAGTCTGACCTCTGGCACCAGCCGGCTCCGCTCACGACATGCCCACCATGTGTATGTCCAGCCTATCCTTGAACACCCACACCGAAGGGGCCTCAACGACCTCTCGTGGAAGCCCATTCCACACCCTCGGGGTCCTAACTGTCAGGAAGTGCTTCCTGGCATCCAAATTGAACCTTGGCTCCCTGAGCTTTGCCCTGTTGGAGTTTGTCCTGCTTCCTCTGCAGGGGAGAACAGGCCTCTACCCACCTCCGCGTGACACCCCCTCACATGCCTGTATGTTGCCAACAGATCCCCTCTGAGTCTCCTCTTCTCCAGGCTGAAGAGACCCAGTTCCCTCAGTCTCGCCTCATACGGCATCCCCTGCAAACCGGCCACCAGCCTTGTGGCCCTACGCTGCACTGACTCCAACCTGGCTATATCCTTCCCACAATGAGGGTCCAAAACTGAGCACAAGGCTCCAGTTGCAGGCGCACCAGAGTCACATAGAGTGGCAGCAAAACCTCTCTCGAGCTTGAAGCCACACATTGGACAGACTGGTGAAGAACCGCTGTACGTGTGCGCACATGACTCTCATGGGAGATGGAGTGGTCTTGGCGGGAAGGGTAGCCCCTTCTTTCCCAGGGCTGTGCTTTTAATGGGAATGTGTCTTTCTTGCTGTCATAAACATGACTCATGTGCTCATGTCCCGGGCTCACTTGTGGATGAACATGGAAACTACAGACGTGCTGGGAGGGAGAGTGGAATCGAAAGAGCTCTGGCTACTTTTCAGGGCTCAGGAAAATCCCTGCTCCCTTCATCCGCACCATCACTACATTAGGCTGCAGAAGCTGCGGGGTCAACAGGCAGAGGCAAACCCAAACCCCACCCTTCAGCGTTTGCTCCTTCAGTGCAGGCTGGAGCACATCATCCAGGCTTGGTGACCACTGCAAGGCCTCTGCTCTCCATCTGCCAATGCACCTGCAATTGCTGGCTGACACAATCCTTGCTCAGCCTTCCGAAATCTTTCCTCTGTCATGGTGCTCATCTGAACCATAAAACCCAGCAATTTTTCCACAGTCTGGATGCTAACCTGAGATATAGAAACATAGAAGCAGAGTGAGTCAGAAGGGGTCTCCCGGGCCATCTAGTCTGACCCCCGGCTCCTCTCATGACATGCCCACCATGTGCATGTCCAGCCTATCCTTGAACACCCTCACCGATGGGGCCTCAGCCACCTCCTGTGGAAGCCCATTCCATACTCTAGGGATGGACTGCATGGTTCTCTTCTTCATTTAGGAGACCTGATTTACAAGCTTCTATTCTGAGTCCAGTTTGGAAGAACTTGACCAAGTGTTGGAGAAATCCCTTAAGTTCTTAGAGGAATCACGAGGGAGTCAGGGGGACCGGTGCCCAAGGAGAATGAAATTACTGCAGAAGCTCTTTCTTTTTAATATCTTGGTCACTGCAGGCTAAATATTTTCAGGTGTGCAATGATTACCCAGCTGACAATTAGAAAGAATTTATCCTAAGGACCAACTCACGCAGTATATTTTGGCTTAATCTGTGACATCTATGCAGATAATGATGCAAATTTGAGACTAGGCCAGAAGTCGCTCTCTGCTGAGCCAGGGTTCCCAATGCTTCTGGGCCCAGGGGCGCATCCAGAATTTTGAGAGAGCGCTGCAGGTAGCATCATAAAATAGGTTCCATGAGGGACGTGCCCATCCATGGTGCTGTGCGCAGATCTGGGGAGAGGGAGACACAAAGCACAGACCTGGAGAGCGGAGTGGGAGAGAAGCAGGCATTCTGCTTTCTCCTTCTGTGAAGGAAGAGGATGGAAAGGATACGGTTCCCACCTCTTCTCCGGCAGCTGGGATGCCAACCTCAGCCTAGAAAGGAGCCTAGCGTCTGGAGGGGGGGGGGGTTAATGCTCTTCTCACTTCCTTGTCCTTCTCTATGCTCTATGCCCTCTACGTTGCTTCCTTGCCACTTCTGATGTGGAGGGAGGGGTGCAAAGGATCCGCAGGTGCCCTGAGAGGGCTTCCTGAGCTCTGTTGTGCTTGCAAGTGCCTCTCTAGAGATGCTCGATCTGGGTTCGAGTCCCCGCTCAGCCATGGAGCCAACTGGGAGACTTTGGGCCAGTCCCAGACTCTCAGCCCAACCTACCTCACAGGGTTGTTGTGGTGGGGATAAGATGGAGGAGGAGCATGATGTAAGCTGCCTTGAGCCCTTTGTAGGAAAAAGGCAGGATATAAATCAGGAAATAAATACATAAATAAATAAATATGCTCTGTCAAATATGTCTCTGACTTATGGTGACCTTGGGAAAGATGTCCTTCAAGGGGTGCCCTGACATCCTATTCAGCTCTGTAAACTCAGGGCTGTGGCTTCTTGATGGGGCTGATCCATCTTGTAGTGGGTGCTCCACTTCCTTGTCCACCTTCAGCTCTCCCTAGCAGGGTTTCTTCTCCAGGGAGTCTTGTCTTCTCATGATGGGCCCAAAGTAGGACAACCTCAGTTTTGTCCATTTTCCTTCCAGGGCAAGTTCTGGCTTGATTTGATCTAGGACCCCTTGTTCATTTTTCTGTTGTTCCAGAGTATTCACAAAGCTCTCCTCTAGCAATATGTTTTTCAAGACATCCTTTTTCTTTTATTATTATTATTATTATTATTATTATTATTATTATTATTAACATTTCTATGCCGCCCCTTGCCGAAGCCTCGGGGCGGCTTACAACACAATAAGATACATTAAAATACAATAGAACATAATAAATTACCAATAAATACAGAAATACAAAAAATACACTGAGATACAATAATATAAAATTAAAATTAACAGTATAAAATAAGTAAATGAAGAATATAGGAGGAGGAAAGAAAGGAAGAGGAAGTTGCCCTGGCCAGATCATATATTTTAACAATTAAAATGATGTTTAAATAAAATGTTTTTCTTCCTGTGTCAAACTATATTTCAGTTAAATATGGATCATGCATCTGCCTTTCATATTTTTTACTTACTCCAAGGAAGGTGGGTGAGCTCCCAGTTCAGTTTGGGGCCTTCATATGCAAGGAGGTGAGGCTTAACCCTTCCTCCGTTGGTTGCTTCTTTCCTGC